TTAGAAGATGTGAACCAGAAACCACCTTGCACCTCCAATTCCAAAAACAAGGAAGTCACAAGGCAAATAAAACCTTTTCTCTATTCAAAAGCTTAACTTTGTTAAGTAAGGACAGACTATTTATCAGTGCTTCCCAAAATGATATGATCTTGAATCCCAACAAAATGTGTATTAGCATTCTTATCCGGAGAGCTTTCTCAAATATTTTTCCTGTATTTAGAGGTAACAAACAATAAGAGGTGGAGAGCAAACCAGATTTGATATGCCTGAAATTTCAAGATGAGTATCATCACTAATTTTAATGTAACTATAACAATCAACAGTGATAATTGTAACAAGAAAAAAGAAATGCCAGTAAATTTATAGAAAAACTTCAATGGAGTTTTTCAGTGTCTCTGTGTGCATAAATGAGAGATATTGACGAGCACAAAGACTGGTTCCTTATCGAAGGGAGGAGTTCCCAGCTTCCCCATGACAGTAGATTCCAGTTGTATCGGTTTTCACTTGTTTTTATTCACTTTACACCAGTACATTCACGTACAACATACAAGTTATTGGTTTCCAACTACGAATAGTCCATCTAGGGAGGTTGGGAAAGTTGAGAACAAATAAATTTCACACTAGCAGAGCAAAGCTCGTAGTCAATACCAGACGAAAATATAAGAGATTGAATGATAACTGGACACCTTAGGTTATTCATCACCCGGGACCCAAAAAGAAATATGAACGGAAAAGAGGAGTGTAATGCAAACAGTTGGTTTGCTGGCCAAATAAGAACTGAGAAAAGAAAAATACAAGATTCAAACTTTCATCTTCCTAACGCTCTCTTTAGGTTGCCAGGAAACTGAAAAGCCAAATTTCAATGACAAATAAGAAAAATTCAGATTATAAACCATGCCAAATGGTTTCGGAAATCCAACCCATTTCCACCAAAAGAAAAATCTTCAACTTTCATTATTGAAGATTCCACCTTGCAACTAAGAAAACCCTTATCAACAATACTATTCCATTTTCATCCAGAAACGACAACACCATTTCTGTTAAAATATATATATACAATACCTTCAATTGATAATCAATCGATTAACTAATCCTGAATTCAGCAAAATATAATTAACATAGATTGCATGCATACATATATAAAGATATGTATTTGTATTAGAAAGAGAGCTTAGCCTACCTTAAATATGAGCTGAAATGCATGGAAATTTTTTAGACAAACTTCTATGGTGAAATTGGGGGTGGAGTACTGGTAGCTAGGGTTTCAGAAATGCTCTATCTCTGTCTTTCTGTGTGCTCCTTTTCCTCTGCATATTTCTCTATCACGATTTGAGTCTCTGTGCGGTTGTGTCCGGCACGTGACTCTATCAAAGAAGGAGGCGCCCTCACACGTGCTGGTAGTTAGGGTTTCGGACTTTTGGATGGGGATTCGGGAAGGAATCGGCCCGATTCAGATTTGGGCGGGTCGGATTGTAAGCTGCCAACACCTCTTTGGTTGGGTCAGGTTTTTGTAAATGGGCCTTAACAAGCAACTATACGTGTTATTTCGAATATGTATTCACAGTAACTGAGTTGACCTTCCAACTTTGTGTATGTCCAAAACTAAACTAGTGTATTCAGGAATTGCCACATAGACATAGCCAGGAACACAGAACAAAAGAAGCTGACTGGCTGAGGCTCCACCCACTCACGCTCACCGCTGTTTTTATAACGTGCTTTCCAACAGTTAAAAACTCCTCCTCACAACTGTCGCCAAAAACCCACGCTTTCCCATTTCTTTGCTTTCTGTGAGGTATCTGAGAAAGAAGGAGAGCCAGAGAGAAAGATGTGGTTGTTTAGAAGAAAAGGGCCATCTGGGTTCTCATCTTCTTCCACGGCAGAAGAAGTTACTCAAGGGATTGATGCCAGTGGTCTCACTGCCATTGTTACAGGCAAAGTCCATTTGCTTTTTCTTTCCTCAAAATTGATATCTATATATTTATTTTCTTCAACTCTTACCATGTTATGTTGTGCAGTATATTTTCATCTCTTGATAAGATTTTACAGTTGGAAGATAGTATGGATCACCCATTTTCTAGTTATATGGATGACTGGATAATATTAAATCAGTTCTTGATTTACTTATAAAAATAATAGAAAATTAGAATTTTGGATAGTGGTAGGTACCTAACATGCTAATTTTTCACTTGAATCCTTTTTTGCTGATGCAGTATTGTTTTGACAATCTGAGATTAATGCAGTCTAGTTTTGTGTTGTGGGGTCCATTTCTTGTTCCATATTACTCAACAATCAACAATCCAATATTATGTATCAAAATTTACCCTCTCTCGGAATCAGTTTTCTTGTATGGAATTCTAATAGAATGATTGTGTCCATCCTTGATATATCAAGCACTGTGAAAAGAAAATTTCCCTGAAGTTGTGGAGTGTAGCATTTGTAGCCGTTTATGCCCAACACTTTTATGTAACTGTAGTTTTCATTCAAAATAAGAATTGACACAGGAAGTTTTCTTGCTAGTAAATGAGGATACACAGATCGTAAAGTTTTTTTTTGGTCAAGACTGATCTTAAAGTTCTTACATGGTCTTATGGGCATTTTTTTTAAAATTTGGCTCTGCATATTTTCATTGCAGGAGCATCCAGTGGTATTGGCACCGAAACTACACGCGTTCTTGCACTGCGTGGTGCCCATGTGATTATGGGAGTGAGGAATATGGCTGCTGGTAAAGATGTGAAAGAAGCAATAGTTAAGGAAATACCCACTGCCAAAATTGATGCTATTGAATTGGATCTCAGTTCATTATCATCTGTGAGGAAATTTGCCTCAGAGTTTAATTCCTCTGGTCGTCCTCTAAACATTCTAATGTAAGGGTGCAAGTTTTGTCATATTTTGTCTTATCATTCCCTAGCAGTGTCATATGCATAACCCCGCTGTGTCTCAAAAAACTCACCTGTGATAACTTTACTTTTCTTTCATAAGTAACAATGCAGGAATTATGGCCACCCCTTTCATGCTTTCGAAAGACAACATAGAACTTCAGTTTGCCACAAACCACGTGGGTATGTTGCACTGATTAGATCATGAAAATGGCATTTTAAAGTATTGTTTGTTTTAAGCTGTCCTACTAGACTGAATGTTTTGTCTTTTCCCAATTTGAGCAAATAAACATTCAAGCTAGATGACTGCTTATATGTCTGTTAAAATCTTGTTTATCTCCCGCCCTCCTTCCTCTCCATTGCCATCGTGCTGCACACAGAATTGTGTGACTTACGTGGAAAGCCAGGCACATAAGATTAATGTGCAATACTTGTCTCATTCTTTTCCCGATTTTGCAGGTCATTTTCTTTTGACAAATCTTTTATTGGATACTATGAAAAAAACAGCACGTAAAAGCAGCAAAGAAGGGAGAATTGTAAATGTGTCCTCAGAAGCTCACCGGTATCCATATCGGGAAGGAATTCGTTTTGATAAAATTAACGACCCATCAGGGTAACAATGAGACAACCCTTACTTTTGAGATATTATTTTATATGTTAGTGTGTGATTTACAACTTGTTTTTTTTTAATTAAAGGTGGATGGAAGTGAGTTACAAATTCGATTCTGATACCATATCAGTACTTGTGCACGGCTTAGCCGCATAGTATATTTATCTAATACATTTTTGTTGATAGCATATGCTGTGAATTGAGAATTCTATATGCTTTATCTGAGTTTAGACTGGCTCTGCAGGTACAGCAGTTTTGCTGCATATGGTCAATCCAAGCTTGCTAACATTTTGCACGCTAATGAGCTTGCAAAACGTTTAAAGGTATATTGTCTTCTCCCAGACCCAGGTGAAATGAATTAGACAACAAATGAATGGTGCCAGAGTTTATCAATGGCCTCTTTAAAATCCAACTTTTAGGCCACTGTTCACACTTATATCACTGCTTTTGTATTATATTCTTGCTGAATTGGCAATCAGCAACTTGTTCACGAAATGTTTCTTTTTCTCCATCCGTCTTACTTTTTCAAAAAAGTTGGCATTGGAGGCATAAGAATTTTCTGTTATTTATCTTGAGAGGGAGTGCTTCTTCAGTATCTCAACAGAATCATCATTCATGAAAATAGCAGCTTGCATACATCTGCCCATATATGTATTTTTCTACATACGTATTCTCTTTTTTTGTTATTTGTGATTGTTTCTTCAACAGGAAGATGGAGCAGATATAACTGCAAACTCACTTCACCCTGGTGCAATTGTTACGAATCTTTTCCGTCACAACAGCACCATTAATGGTAAGCACTTCACTTTAGCACGAAAACTACGTGAAAAAAGGAAACTTTGACGAGGAGGCTCTGTATTCATTATGTGCTTAGTTTCAGATATTTATACTTTTGGTCTTCTGGTTTGATGCAGGGCTTGTTAATTTGCTCGGTAGAGCTGTGCTTAAAAGTGTTCAGCAGGTAAGCTATCCAACCTATAGAGCAAATAGAAGATGAAGTGAATTTGAGTAATCCGAAATGTGATGAATTTCAAATACTCAAGAAAAATATTTTGATTCAAATTCACTCTCTAAACCATTTGAATTTAGAATTTGATTGTTTATGAACTTTGTCGATCATAGGGAGCAGCAACAACATGCTACGTGGCACTGCATCCACAAGTGAAGGGGGTAACAGGTGAATATTTTTCAGACAGTAACCTAGCCAAGCCAAGGCCACAAGGTCAAGACGTGGACTTGGCGAAGAAACTCTGGGATTTCAGCATGGATTTGGTGAAATGATTTTCTGGAAACTCATCACATAATACTGTAATTGCTATATAAACATTTACATAATGCACATTGGATATTCCCTTCAAACGACAGAGATTGGTTTGTCGTTTGACATCGTGTATTAACTTCAGAAATTTCATCTTTCAATAAACTCATACCCTAAAACCACAACTCCAAATCATACTTTTGCTTGTTTGTTCAATTTGCTAATCACATGCCACGTGGCAACCCAAGAAGATAAAAGAGAAACATGTGGTTAGATTTCTTCATTTCACTTAAGTGGATGATGTACAGTACATACATACATACATGATACAAGAAAGAAATGAGATACAAGAGTATACAATGTTACACATGAGCCTGCAATAAATCAGTACAAGAAACAGAATGTGCAGGCTTCAAAAATCCCCAACTGACTATTTCGTTAACCAAATCAGGACCCCAGCTCAGTCTCCCGTCTTCTGTACAGCAGTTTCAGACACAAAAAATTGTTCCAAAGCTAATAGTTTTCTCTCTTAGGCTGCTTCTTAGCCTCTCTTTCTCTATATGAACATCTCAAAAAATATACATTTCTTGCTGCCTTGAGTATTTTCTTACCGAAGAAACTGCAATACATTTGGATCATCAGAAGCCATCCTTGTCGGGCGAAATCAAGCTTTCATTGCTCCAATCAGTCAAGCACTCAACTTTGTACAAAGTCAAAACCGCGTCACGTTCTATGTACTATAAAAGTCTATTATTTGTCAGGAATTGAGCTTGACCATGCATGATTTCAGAATCAGATCTCGTCTGGCTTAGCTTACCAAATGCCATAAGCCTGAACACTAAGCCATGCAAAAGAGTTGCCTGCTTCCAGCCACTAACTTTCCAGAGCTTCAACCTTATTCCACAGTTCTTCAACTTTGGGTCCTTATTGTACAAATATAATTTCCTTTGCAGTTCAACATGACGGATAGTTGATCCAGTATATCCAAGAATGGTCTGATTAACTTGAGAGCTTGAACTGATTGGCGGGTCCATCAAAATTAGTTAGACACCGTTTGTGCGGCTGGGCAAAGGAGAGTTGGGACTTAAATCCAGTGACAAGTTCATCTTAACATGATCCTTAAGGAGTTGGCGAGACACACGATCAGCCAAAACTGACTGTCCATCATACTGCTCCGCATGGGCAGGCCTTACAAATTGCTTTCCCAGAACATCATTCTCACAAGGCATCAGTTCTGAGAAGATATGAGACCCTGGCTGCTTCCCTCGAAACATGTCAGGACATGAATCGTGATAGGAGGAGGGCCCATTGACATAGAAACCATTCATGGGCTTTGAAATGCCTCCAAAACCCTCTTGCAAGTTGATGGACTGTTTCATGTGAATAAATGGAATGGCACCGCTGCCACCTGTGAGAGGTGTGGATGAGCCCGAAGTGGTGCGCGGGCTAGATATAGGAGAAGGTGACATTCTTCCATTTAGGTGTGGTGGTGACCTTGAGTGCAATAGAGGACTTCCGATGGGTGAGACGGGGCATGATATGTTCCTTGGAATATGGATCTCACTGGAGTTTAGGAAAATAAGATCAAACCAAAATCTTATTATCAAACTGTTGTTGTAATCATCATCAGGGAGAAACATAGAGAGAGAGAGAGAGAGAGAGAGAGAGAGAGAGAGAGATATATATATATATATATATATAGAGGGAGAGAGAGAGAGACCTGGTATGGTTATTAGTTTTTGAAACTCTAGATGAATGAATTGCAAGCCTATCTGAATCCAAGTTGGAGAAATTCCTTGATTGCCCAATGCCCTGACAATGATCAATAAAACACAACAGATGAAAATAAGAAGCAACAAGAGAGGACTCATAAACTTGATAGCATGCACTATGCTCAAACATAAATAGAGACTGAGCACAAAACTACCAACACCATAAGATACCAATTTTACATTTGTGGTAAAAATGGAATTCATACCAGTGCTTTCACTCCATTTGTAATCCCAGAGGGTGGATCAGAAGGCTCAAGACCCAAGATAGGCCTTTCCAAAGGTGCAGCATATTTCACAAAAGGATGCTCCAAAAGCTGAGCAGCTGTAGGACGATGGAGTGGATTTCGCTGTAAGCATTGCCTTATGAAATCCTTTCCATCATCCAAGAGGTGATCTGGAATTACTGGCAGTTCCCTACTATTCCCAATCTTAAACATGGCAGCAACCTATTAACCGCAAAAAGAATATATTTACACAATGAAAAGAAAGAACAATTAATGAACATGTTTCAAATATACGCAACATATTATTACACATGAGCCTCAAACATGAGAGAATGCTTGAATCAGCTGCTATGATCTCAGTCTCAAATTCAAACAAAAGCTTTCATCACGAGATCTAAATTCTTACCCCTTCATACTGGCTCCAAGGTGGTTTTGTTGTAGCCATTTCCAAAACAGTGCACCCAAGACTCCATATGTCCACAGCAAGGTTGCAACCACTTGAGTTTTTTATAACCTGGGGACGCAACAGAAGTGAAGATTAGGTAAAACCATCACAAAGTATGTCACCGAGGAGATGAAGGGGAAAACTAGAAAAAGTATAACCTCAGGTGCCATCCAGTAAGGGCTTCCCTTAAATGATAAAGGACATGACTGGCCAGTGATCTGCAAAGCACACAAGATAAGTTTGGAGAGCAAGATTGATCCACATAATTAAGGTCAAGCAGGCTTGTTCTGTGATATATAATATATTAGCAACTAGAAAGTAAATATGGAGAAAAAAGTTCCAGCCGCAAACTCATGCAATTTCATTTAAGATCACAGTTTTATCAATTATGCTCTTTGCATGCATTCACAAAAGCTCTCAACAAGGTAGAATCTGCTGATAGGAATATGAAAATGATAATGTGAACCACAACCAACCATTACAAAAGCAATCCTATTTCCCTATTCTTCTGGTCTCACGTGCATAATTTAATAGTCATTTCATTTAACAACACTTAATATGAAAAGTAAAAATGCCTATGCTTACATGCTTTGCCATCCCAAAGTCTGCTAACTTGACACGTCCATTTGGGTCTACAAGTATATTTGCTCCTTTAATATCCCTGTACAAAAGAACACACAGTTTTATAAAGATGAAAGATGCTTAATGTCCAGTATATACATTACAATCAGTATACTGCAACAGTTGAGCTTCAAATTACTTGATCAAAAATAGGTAATGAAATTCACCTGTGGACGGTATTTTTAGCATGTAAATATGCAAGTCCCGACAAGATTTGCTGAGTATAACTACGAATTGCTAGATCACCAAATTGCCCATAGTCTTGGAGAAGTTTATATATGGAGCCGCCAGATACATACTCCAAATATATATACAGCCTATCACCAACCTGTTATACAAATGACTATCAGCTTACATCAAGTGGAGTACAATGGTACTTGAATCTTCAATCAGAAATTAATAATGCAGATAATGTGGCTTTATGGCAGACCAATTAAGAGTACCATGCTTAGCTTGCTAAAGACCTGTGAACTGACAACTACTGAATACATATAGCATTAACTTCTTCAGAGTCACTCTTGTCATAACTAAACATACGATAATGACAAACAAGACAAATAAAAGATTGTCGTAAGTAATGGTATTTAAATGCGTAATATGAATAATACATAATGGACAGAAGACTTACTGATTCAGACCCATAATATTGAACAATGTTTGGATGCCGTAAACGACTCAATAAAGTAATTTCCTGTCAAAACATGCAACATTAAAGTCAAACAAAAGACACAAAGCATATAACGTTTGTCCAAGGAAGCTTAATGACACATAAAACAGCATGATGATACCTGCATTAACTGCTTAGCACTTTCTTTGGACTTTGCATCGTCAGAAAATAATGTAACCTCCTTCATTGCACACATTTCGCCACTTTCACTAAACAAGTTAATAATATAAATCAGGTAGGATATTAACTAATAAGTGATATATATATATATATATATAGAGAGAGAGAGAGAGAGAGAGAGAGAGAGAGAGAGATAGGAAATATAATTAGGTATCTACCTATTAAAACCAACATAAACGTGTCCAAATGTCCCTCTACCCAGCAGCTTTCCCTTTTTCCAGCGTGAACCAGGACTTGCTGGGTTCTCTGCCCTTCCTGGACTTCGTGGCACAGAAGGAGATGTTGCTGCTGAATTTGAATGAGAAAAGGGAGACGCATTAGAAATTGTCACAGGAGGAAGAGGCAAACGATGACTTTGTTGTTTCCCATCATCAGCCCAGCTTGTCTGTGTCTCATTGGGAGTCCCTCCTGCTCTAGGATGGATAGGTGTAACGGCACCGCTATGAATTCTTGATCCTGGGCCTGGGCTTGTCATTCTGGGACTGGGTACTGGAGAATACTCAGGGCTACCCCTGCTTTGCTGCCAAAACAATTGTCCAGACATATCCCCTCCCATTGAATTATGCCCAGAATTGTGACCCGAACCTGGACTGGAGCAGTGGCCAGATCCAACTAGGGTGACATCTGTATAAGTTTTTGCAGCCCAGAAAGCAGTGTTCACAACTTGCTCATTGCCAAATGCTCTCATTGGACTTCTAGAAGGACTTGACTTTGAGCTGTCAGGAGCACTGCAGAATGCTCCATGATAAGGAACCTGTAGGTTTGGCACATGACTTCTTAAAGGCCTCCGTTTGGGTGATGTAGGGGAAATGTTATTACTGAAGGAAATGGCTGATTTTTTTGGCTCTCTTGACTTTATTGGGGCAACAGTGAATATCTGATCCTTCAGCATTGAACTTCAGAAAAATTGCAGTAAATTTATCAGGGATGAGCAAGCTAAAAGAATTACAAATAAATCATGCACATCCATGCATATACATAAAAGATGCTTACTAGTAGCATAATGGCATGTGCAACAAGTGAAAGCTCACCTGGAAGGGCTTCCCGCAGCAGTTCTATTCCCATTGTCATAGTCAGTTGCCTGAGGGCTACGATGGCATGAGTCAGCTGGATCATCACTATCAACGGAGCTCTCACTAAAAACTGAAGCAGTGACCATATCTCCATCTAAGTCTGTAGGATTTGACCTACTACCAATGCACCCAGGCATCGGGAGAGGTAGAAACAATAATGGCTTAGAGCCTTTTTCCGATCTTGGTTTTGTTGATATACTAATTCCAGAATCTGTACGACCAACATGAGCAGGATGTAGACCAGGAAGTGGAAGTGGTTGAGCATTAGTCCTTTCAGCAAAACTTTGACATCTTGAAACATTTTTGGAGGGCGAAGGGGATCTTGATTCTATAGGGGATTGACATCCCTTTTCCGAAATTGTGTCATTGCAATGTCCTTGTGACCCTCCTGATCTACCATTCACTCTACTTTCTGATGAAAATTTAAATTTCCGATGTAATGAGTCAATGAAACTTTCCTTTCCGGCCTTCTTCTTTGCTTCTTTGGACGACGACTTCCCCCACCATGAAGGCATATTTCTCATAAAAGTTTTATGGAATCAATGGGCAAGTACTCTAAAGCTATTTCATTTGCCAGCATTATAACTTATTGTACAGCACCATTACATGGGATTATCAATCAGCTAATTTTCTCTCGATCAGTGAGTGAGATTATTAACCAGTTACTGCACCTATACAGGTTTTGAGACCAACAGAATGTTCAGTTCTGACTTCCAGAAATGACTTTCATCAGACAGATACAAGGGAAAGCCACACCTTCCAATTCTAAAATATCAGCCAGTATTTGAATGAGTTCGCAATTAAATTCAGTGCATAACAAAAACCTGCAGGGATAAAGGCTGCAGGTCAGTAACTCTATTTCAAGGATCTCCAAATTAAATACAAGGCACAGAAGGCTATGTTGCAAAAACAACCAAAACTAAGTAAATGACACTAGGACCTAAATCCTAGTTTATAAAATTTTGTAGATCAGAGGAATCTGACCATTGCTTATGCTCGTGCCACACGCACTAACCTGGCTTAACATGACATTGACTTAATGCACTCAACAAATGTGAACCATTAAATTTTGGAGTGCACCACTAGGTTAAATTAGCTCGCACCCACTTCTTTCCAATCCAAAAACACTAATCTTTGTTTGGTTCCCTACTAAACGCGGCAAAAAGCAAATGAAACCCATAATTTCTAATCCAAAGCTTGATAAATTGGGCACAAAAACTCCGACTTCAACAAGCGGCATGGACCCATTGGCTCAATTTTTCAATACCCAGAACACGAAATAACGGTAAGAATAAAGTTCAAAATTTCAGTTTAATCTTCTTTCACCAATTTTCTCGGGAACGAAACGAAAGGTTTCGATCCCAAATTGCTCACAAGCACAAGCTTGCAACACAGATCTACTTACAACTAAATAATCTGAGCGGAATCAACAGCTAACTAACTTAAAGAAAAATCTGAAATTTATTGCACTTAGATAACAGACAGTATGATACTTACTGTAAATATTAGGAGCTGCAAAATCCGAGCTAAACCCACTTGGAATCTGGCACAAATCTCAACGATGAACTTGATGAACTTCTTCTGATTGCACAGTGAAATAGCTCAGAAAACAAACCCCTAAAAATCAAGGGCGCAACGCGAGTAATGGGATAAAGAGGATTTTGATGTATTTACTTGCATTGAAAGGTTGAGGGGAATCGTCGCTTTTAGAGAGAGAGAAAAAGAGAGAGAGCATGTCTGAGCATAAGACATTAATAAGTTGTCTGAAGCTGATTTTTTGTTTTATATTTTTTTACAAATTTAATACGGATGATTGAAGAAATATTTAATTACTGTAACAGTGCCAGGTTACATATTCCACCTTCATTTCCTTCTGCTCTCCAACAAGGATTTTTTTTTTTAAACTAATGACATTTAAACTATGTTTACTAATCCGTAACTGGACGAGGAGGAATTAAATTGAGGATGAGTCAAAATCTGGATTACATGAAGTTGATTACTAAATTATTTAGAATTGGGGTATGTGATGATATAATTGGTAGAAAAATATGAATTCCTGATGGGTTGATTCTCCAGGAGTAAGAATACTATTTCCCACCTAAGAGTCCAATGAATTTTATGATTTTGTGTGTGCCCCACTTACATATTCATTCCATGATGTCGATAAACGTACGAGTAATCCATAATTGGAGTCCAACTTTTTATTTTAATTCATGAGTAAACACACGAATTAATAAACACGTCATGACTATTTCGTTACAAAAATTTTGGGGGTAAATAAATTTTTTAATATGATTTTATTTTTAATGGGGATTGTAATTTCTCAAAGTCATCATTTTGTATATGCAATAATTACTTCAAAAGAAAAGAAAAATAGTGTAGTTTGTGATGTAGATGGCAGCCCTCACTTTAAAATTTAAAATCATTCCATGATTTATCAATGTACAAAAAGTAAATTGAGTCTGGCGACAACTTGATTATATGTGCCTAAGGAAAAAAAAAACAGACAACTTGATTGATACCCAACTTTTAATTATAAAGTAGTGCAGTATCTTTCTTTAAAAAAATTTAAATTAAACAAGAAAACATTGCAAAGTATGGCATCCAAATTGTAATTAGCAGGCTAAAAATAATTAGATGAGTGAGAGTAACCTTTAGCAAGTGAAATGCATAATTTTATTGATTGCATGGTTCATGTATGTTGAAATTTAGTGGTGATTAAGAAACATTTGTAGCTACTCATTAAAGTAATTGTTTGGGGATGGCATAATTTGAGAGAATATAATGGGATTAAGGTTTACAGTCATATCATACCATCATTTTATTCCAATAAAATATTGACAGGTTTTAATTGGTGCAATCAAAATTAATTGGACCATGCTACTAATTGTTAGGTTGAACTACTTTGTGTGGGTGTGTGGGTGTGTGGGTGTGTTTTTTTATTATTTTATTTATTCATTATTTAAACATAATGAACTTTGTTTTCTGGGTAGGTATATTTGTTGTTTTCTTCTTTTAATTATTAATGTTTTTGTAAAGGTTTTCCCAACTGGTTAATTAGGGTGTATATTTTTAAAATAAATAAAAAAATCATTATGCGTGCGTGATGATTAGGAAAACTTCACTTATTGATCATGATGTGGGGGTGGTTTGATAAAGTGATTTTAAACTCTATTGGATTCAACAAGTTTAAATGAGATGCAAACTAAAATAAAATTTTAATTAAATAAACTTGTAACCCGGAAGAGTAAATAAGTGAAGATCAGAGAGAAAATTCTTATAGAGTACGATGATTTCTTCAAAACAAAATAAAAGGGTAGCAGCATATATGTGTTTTTTGCCGGAAAAAGTCATACAATTTACTCCATTAAAAGAAAAGATGATGCTGTTTTGACCTTTTATGTCAGCAGAAAAGGTATGCTAAATAGTAACTTACATTTTTATTCTTTTTTTGTCTTTATTTTTTGGCTTAAGATCTTTTTATATTGAGAATGACAATGATATATTAAACTCACACACACAATACCGATACTAGAACTGGAACCCAAAATCTTACTTTGGGGAGCAATTATTCCAAACCAACTACACCAGTGACCGCTTCCAATTTTATTGGATGTCCTCAAAGGGGACCATTTTTTTGTCTTCTAATAAATAAATAAAAGATTTTAAAAAAAAATAGAAAATAGAAAATAATAAGAAAAGAAGATAGCTGATAGAAATTGGACTCCTTGAGTTCACTTCACTTGACTGACTTGGGTCGTTCTGGTTGGCCCTATTCGGCAAGTTATATATATGTTGACACGACGCTCGCTGTCTATGATTTGAGGCTGAATAATTTATCAACTTGAATTCCTGATAATTGTCAAAGTCTGTGAAACTTGATTCCTAGGTGATATTCGTAGCTACACATGAAACATGAGACTGTTTTTGTTTGTTTTCATGAATGTTGATAATATTCGTAGGAAAAACAAGTTTTGATTTCAAGTCACTCAACCGCAAACATGGTACGTGAAATAAGGAAAAAAGAAAGAAGAAAAGAAGAAAAGGATAAATACTGATATGAAAATTCGTTGGAGGAAAACTCTGAATAATGAAGAAGGCAAGAGACAAGGGTTTGGTGCTGGAGATGAAAGATGGCCAATCTAATCTACACAGGGGTCAAGGGTCAAGGGGAGATGTAACTAGGCTATTCAGAGGAGAGGAGAGCAAAACTTGTCGGGTCCTTAGTTGCTTGCACGTGGCATGTTCCCTTCCCACACAAGAAAGATACTCCCTTTCTGTAAATTAGGGTTAGGTCAGCTTCAGTTCTTCTTACTTTCATCAATGTTACTTAGATCATACTTGATTGAAATGGCTTCTAACTTCCAAGTCATCATAATTTCTTATTTTTATTTTATTTTATAATATTGTTACATTAATGTCATGATTTTTTCGAGTATAAACCACCTATTTTGTATTTCATGGATGAAAAAGGCCACAAAAAAAGAGAGCCCATGAAAGTAAAAGCCCATCCTTCAAACCCACCAACCACATCATGGTAAAGGCCCAAACCCTAAACCCTATTCCGAAAGGTTGATGATTTTTGGTTTTTTCTTTGTACAAAAGTTTCACTTGCAACAAGATTGATTAAATCAAACACACCAACCAGGGCAAATATGATCAATCATCTTATCAGTGTCAAACCAATGGCGGTGACTAAAAGAGTGGAGGGGACGCCAAATTTGAGATGGCTCCAGAAGGATAAAGTGTATGCAAGGTATGGGGATTGGCGAGCCTGTTCACACACTATCAAGTTGGCTGCTGATCCCAACAGTGATAGATTTCCTGCCACCGTGCTCACCCAAGCTAAAAGGAGCCAAGCCTTCTTCTCCTCTGCCGCAGAAATTGCAGCCGCCGATGCTGCCACCCGTGCTCCAAGCAACAGAACTAGCCAACAGGAAGAAAGAAAAGAAGAAGAAAAAAAAACATGTAAAGTGGCAGCTCCAGTTTTGAGATCATTAGCTGTTGGTGTTCTTCAAATAGACATTAGAATCGTAAAAATAAATACAGCAACATACCAGTTGGTACATTTGAAGCCAAATTTGATAGCACAAGTATGGTTAGGGCAAGAACAGCTATCCCAGTAGCATGATCAATATGTGCATGGGGCTCCATGAAGTCCCAGAGAGCGCTTGGAATACCAGTTTTGTTAAACCCTTCGACGGTTATAAACATCCCACAGAAGAAAACTAAAAGTGAATACGAGACCTGCTCAAAGTAGAGAAAAATTAAAAAAAAAGTTATCAGAAGTGTAATCTAACATACAGAGAGAGGAGGATCATATGCTTATAAAATATACCTTTTGTAGGCTTGGCCCAGCATCTGTGAAATCAAGAACCACTAGAGCAAGTGCAGCAGTAATTGCACACCATGACATATTCAGGCCCATAAGCAATGCAATCAGCATTCCTATAGTAACAAGGTAAACACCAGATTTCCACAGCAATCTTTTCCATCTTGTGGTCAGATTTTCCTTCCCTTCCAAAGACTCTGTAGGACATGCATCTCTTAGTCTATTGTTTGACGCAGCCCTTTCCGATAGGATCGTTTCCTCCCTTTTGTGAGAAGACACATCAACTGTCTCCTCTTTTGATGCAATTGAATTTCTTGCAGAGTCCAAAGCACCACTATGAACTTTGTTTATTTCATTCTCACTTGAAGGTAAACGGTTTCTAAGAGTCTCAGCATTATCTATGTTCCCACTAAAATTTGGAGAACTTTTCAAATCTGCGTTTTCTAATCTAGAGTTCCATTCTTGGGAGTTTAAGGATGCACTATGTGACAATGTGGCTGGTGAAAACCGATGAGAACTTACGTCCTCCTCTACAACAACTTCTCCAGCTGGATCTTCCTCGTTCTTATGGACAGACAACAACCTCCAGAACATACATAAAAGGATTAAGGCGTTCACAAAAATTCCCACAAGCATTGCAGGGAGAATTCCGATCACAAATTTTCCGAAAGGAATCTTACTCTGAACAGCTATAACCAAGTTCTGAGGATTACCAATCGGGGTTGCTGCAGACCCAATATTTGCACTTGAGGCAAGGGCAAGTAGGAATGGATGAGGTGGGAGGTTATGCTGTTTTGCAACTTTTAAAACAAATTCAGTCAAAACCACGCAAGAGGTGTCATTGGTGAAGAGAGCACTGGAAATTGCAGAAATCAAGCAGATTCGGCAGAGCAGATCCTTTGCTCCTTGGGTTTTCCACAAGAGCAACTTACCCAAATATTTGAACATATCTGCTCTTTCAAGGTAAATACTGACAACCATTGTCCCAAACAAAAGACCAAGGATTGGGAGATCAATAGCAGCATATGCTTGGTCAGGAGTTAAAACTCTGAAAATAACCATAAGCATTGCTCCTAGGAGGGACCCTGCAGTCCTCCCAATTGGCAGAAAAGGGACAGCCGGGAACACTGCCAATACCCAAAAGACTGCAAAGGCAATTGAGCCAAGAACCACTTTCACAGAAGAAGCCATGGCCATTTTTCCAACTTAAGAAGCTCAGAATCTTATTCTTGGTATATACATATGAAATTCCAAACGCTTGAGAATATATTAAGAACCCCGCAGCTAACGATAGCATGCATTAATACAGGCCAAAAATGTAAAGACCCTGAACAGGGAAACCAATTGCACAATCAGATTAAGTAAAGATTCAACTTTGGACACTGAAATAGACATACAAGGTGATGCTATGAATCTGAAGCAGCAAGACAACATTTCATTCAAGACCTGATCAAACAGCTGCAATGAAAACAGGAACTAAACAAGAAGTTCAGTATAAGTAGTAGTATTGCAACTTCGCGTGGACTGTGAAGCTCAGTACATAACAAGAAGAAAACCAGCCAAGATTGAAACTTTCTTACTGTTTAATCGTAAATTCTATACATAACAGAAATTTACAAAGATAGTATTAAGGGAAGAAAAAGTCAATGCCAATGTTTCAAGTCCATCTCAAAAAGAAACCCATATCCAAAAATTTGTTATGAAGAACTCAATAATATTGAGGGATCCGGACACACAATATGAAAAGATAACCACACGTATAATTATCTGTTTCAGATAGGATATTAGACAGAAAAAAGTGCATATATTAATGCTACTCCGGCCCCAAAGCAACATAACCTCACCTCAACATGCCGTTCTGCAGCTGTCAAAATCAGAAGAACATTGTGTGTATAACTGTACTGCAAAGCAGACACTCTACGAAACAGAAAGTTCTTGGTTTTGGATTGGATGATGGGCAGATTCCAACTTTTCTATTTCAGCTAAATTAAATAAAAGAGGAGATCGTTGAGCTTCTTCTCGGTTTCCACATCTAAAAGCGAAAAACCTTTATATGAAGCATTCCCTGATTATCTTGTAATCTTTGCTGTTCTGAAAACTTATTTACTGTTTGATGCTCTTGCGTGGTAGACTCGTACCCCTCTCATCACAACAATCCCTCATAAATGATAAATGGATTTGAAAACAAGAAATTTTTGTCCCAAAAATGCCTTCTTTTCTTGCAATGTTACATGGATTAATGAAATATGCTAGTCAAAAAGGATTTTTTTTTGTTTTAGGCAAAATGTTTTCTCTTACTTCTTCTGAGTTTTAATGGAAAATGACAAGTTTGTACTATATTTTAGTGAGAGCGACAAAAAGATAATGTTTAGTCAATCTGTATTTTTTGTATTTTAAAAAATGCACCTTTTTTTATACTTTTTGTACCTACCAAGTGAGGTCCAGATAAAATCTGGGGTAAGACCCTTCTTAATCAAGAAACGAACGACAAAATTTGCTTCATGGTAAATGTGTTGAACATGCACAACATGAAGATGATCGCCGCGAAAAGAAACGGAGACTTTGCCCGGAAGAGCATCAACGACAATGTCGCAATACCCTTGAACCTCCAGACAACTGAGATAATAAGAGACCAGCACCTCAAGGCCTTGGTGCAAAGCAAAGCATTCGAGCTCCTCTTACATCTCTTCCATAGCAGCCAGCCAGCAGGCACAAATGCTTGTAACCTGTTTGTTTGTCTACTATCAAAACATCAAACTCAATTTGTCGCTATTGGATCTCAAGAGAGAATTATTATTATTATTAAAGAAGAAAATCAAAACAAATGACGCAATTAGATGCCATGAAAATAAAAAATCTTCAATCTAATTCAACACTTAACGTCAGATATCGTAACCAAATCATGTGACACACTCCCTTTTTTATTAAATTATCAAACATCAATAAAATATTTCACGGGTAGGCTGGCTCCTGAGGGCATATCATTTTCATGGGCATTAAACAATTCGAAGTCTGATATCTGAGCCCAAGACATGCCAGAAAGAGTCCAAAATGACCTTCCTGGAATGAGATTTACATCTATCTAACTAATAAACAAACAAGGTGTCAAGGTTTTACTTTCACATAAACCTTCTGGTCTGCAATTTGCCACACTGCAAAATGCCTCTTTATCTTTATCCACCTGACGGTGATGAGCTTTGATTTTGAACCATAAAACGCTCCACATGACATGCCTATTGCTTCTTGTTTTATCATGTCTCCTGGTTTGTTGGTCACAGCCTGTTTCTTTCTAGTTTCATGCTTGTAGTGGTGTTTGGGCAAGTGGGTAGGGCAGACAGAGACATGAGGTTTGACCATTTACGCAGCAGACATTCAATCAATTTATGCTTATCCTTGGCCAGCACCATAACCAACTTGAATGGAACTCACATATATATATTCAGATTCTTGTTACACTTGGTATATATCACAACTGATTTAGGCCAAAGAACCCGATTTTAGAAGACAAAAATGCACTATTAAGGGTAGTTTTAACAGAGAACTAGGTGAAGTGGACCAGGTCAGGGGGGCTTGGAGCATTATTATTCCCTTCACAGGACCCTACATGGCAGATAATTGACATGAAACATATGCACAACAGCTAGAATTTGGTAGCCTTGGCAAGAAGTATGATCGCACTGATATGAGTAGGCAGGCATGACCCAAACATCAAAATACCAAAGATACTTTCTGTAAGGCTCAATCAAACAGCCTCATGCTTTATGAGCCTTTTTCCAGATATGAGAGACCTACCAATATAAAAGAAGTAGAGAATTCAAAGCAGCAAAGAACGTGTAATGATTCAGAGGTTAATGAGATAATACGACCTTTTTATTACACATCCAGAAAAAATATTCAAAAACACAAAATCTATAAGTGAATCCTATCTTTTGTATAACATCAAGTAAAGAAATGTTCTAAAGAATGCTCCTTTGAGTACTCACACTAACAATTCTACAATCTATTTTCTCTCTGAATTATATTTTTAGGGCCAAAGAAACTCTCATCTCTGCAATCCATCCATCCATCCATCCATCAACAATGTGATCCCAGGTTTACCAAGCTATACATCAGATGGGTTAGAGGTGAAGCCATGTTGAATCATTCCTATGTCATCTAACTCCAGGTTGTAGAATTGGAAAGAAAGTCCAGTCATTACAAGGCTTAGATTCCTTAGCAGCAACATTTTTGTTAGCCCACCACTCTGAGCCAATGTTGGGCTTATTGGGAACTTCAGCCTTCGTGTTGTCAAAATTAAAGTCCTTCGTTGACCCAAGGGTGATGGATCTATGCTTCCGGTAACCTTGATCCTCCCCTTCCCCAGAAACATTTTCAGGAATTCTACTGGAACTTTCCTCAACACTAAACTCACAGTGATTACTAGAATCTGAAGATAACGCATCCCTTTCACTTGGGTATTCTGATGCTATAACCTTTGAAGATCCTGATGCAGTTCTATTTGATGCCACTGCTTTATTTGCAAGACAGCAAGCAACATCTTCACCAGTCAATTCAAATGACACCCTATGATCAAATACAGTTTCCACAGTTTGACATCCACTCTCTGAGTTGGCCAGGGATGCCACCACAGATATCTGGTTCTCCAGAAGGAAACTGTCTCTAGAGGCAGGGCCAGGACCATCAGGCGTCAAACATCCAGAACCCAACCTGGAACCGATTCCAGCACCATTGGGGGTCACACATCCCGAGCCTAGCCTTGAACCTAGCTCATTGCCATCCGGCGTTAACGACCCAGAACCTAGCCTAGAACCCAGCCCCACACCATCTGGGGTCAATGATCCAGAACCTATCCTAGAACCCCACTTACGAGTGGTGAAATGATCAAAGCCAAAGAGTTTTGGAGCTTCTCCCATGCGAAACTCAAGCACAGGGTGTCTGTCAGGAAAAGGAGAAGATGTGCCAGAATTTGAGACTGCTGATCCTGGTGATATGAGATTACCACCCGGACTTCCTGGATATTGTTGGTAAGGCTGGAATTCGTAGTGTGACAATGCAAACTTCTGGTTGGTACCACTATTTCTACGATTTCGGTCCAGTGAAGAAGTCAGAAGTTGAGCAAAAGGCACTTCAGGGGATGAAGGTGTAGTCAGCTGCACAGATTCGGGAGGGGGAGTGAATGGAGCAGTAGATGGTTCAGTGTTGAAGGTAGAGAATACAGGTGGTGAGACTAACTGGGTCTCATATGCATAAGGGCCAATGGAAAAGATGGATGCAGGACCACCCGGAGAGTAGGCATTGGCAGAAAGAGATTTGAGGGACAGAAATCCAGCAGGTGATTGGGTAGCAGATGGTGGATCAGATGGGAGGAAAGATGCAGGAGAAGATGGAGGGGCAATGAAGGGTACTACAATTGCAGTTGAGGTTGTTTGGTTATCAATGGCAGAAACTGCAACTCCTGGAACTACGGGCTCAGGAACGAGGACAGCATGACCAATTCGCTTGTTTTTATGAGACCCAAAGCACCAATATAGGCTCCAGCAGCTTCCCCATCTTCTTTTCTGTAGTCAAATGATTAAAAAAAAATATTGTCAATGACTCAGTTTCAGCTGGATCATGTCTGGTTTCTTATTTACCCAGTAAGGCTCAAGCATTTCACGGATATTACATGCATCAATTTGTTATTCCAGCATCAAGGATAAAATGTGTCCAGAAGCTAAAGAAAATCTTCCACATCATTTTAGCCTAGTTAATGCTCATTGATACAAACTATAAATATAAACGAAACTTGATTTAAACTCCATAAAGTGGCTTCAATATTGAAATACTTGACTTAAAAGGCTACAGTATATCCATGAACAGCATGAACAGACAACTAGAGGTGATAAGGACAATGATAAAGGGGATCCTACGAAAGCAGGCACTAAAGAAACGGAAATAACCTGCCTTTAAAACTAAAAGCCACAAACAGAAGAAATTGAGGCCCAATTTTCAAAATGAGTATGAAGTTTCATATAAACGCACCATTCTGCCTCATATAGCAAATAAAACAAACTTGATCATTGAACATTTGACAGTTATGGGTTAAAGGTATCCAAGTGGAAATTGAAAATCAAAATTCCCTTGTGTTTCTACTGGCACTCTAAAAGGCGATACTGAAAACACTCCCAGACAACATCCTCCGTAGCTATCGCGGCAAGAAAGATGAGTGGTTAGAATGGGAAGCAGGTCCCATGCCCAATTGGATTCTTGTGACTTGAAGAATTCCTGACCCAAGCTCCAAAATCTCTGAACTACCAAATGTTGATCAGACGCCTTACAGAAAATTCTGTAAATCTGCTAGGTGCTACTAAGAAAATCTGGAATCTAAGTTACCTGCTGCTACATCAAAACATACTTGAAAGACTAGCCATTGAAATAAAATGCACTTAACTAGTACCGCATAAAGCACAATGAAGTTTCCATAAAGCAACCCACGAGTACAAAGACAACCACGTCTCCGTAAAGCAAGCTATGGCTACTATCTAAAGACAGAGCAAGGCTCAGGTGTATTACTGACCACCAACATCATTGTCTGGACTTGAAATGCATGATACAGACAAATCACGAAATAAAATGACTACAGAACTATATGATGTTAATTCAAAGGTAAAGGCATGTGGTTTGTCTAACACCATGCTATACTGGTTGCCAAAGACCCTGGGAAAAAAGAAAAACAGAACCAAAATTGAAATCTTGCATTTTATACTAGTCAAGTCAATTAAATTTCTCAACTTTTTCCTCTATTATTACTACTGATTTGAGAAACCAAACATGTGATGGACAAATCAAGGCATAAGTTTTCTGAAAAAAGAAAAGGAACCAAAAAGCCAAAACAGAGAGAGAGTCGAGTAACCAAATCAAGGCATAAGTTTTCTAGACTCTAAAAAGATTCCCAAAAACACTCAAAGCTTCATACTTTTCACTTTTCAGCATTGAAAATAAGTAAAAGGAACATAAAACGCAAGATCCAACTGCTCATATATGTGTTTCAGATTTCCACAGTTTCTCAGCAACCAATCAGAGTAAACGAAGGACCCAAAAACACAACAAATTAAACAAATTGAGATAAGAGAAAAAAAAAAACAGCACACATATATATATATATATATATATATATATATATATGAATGCAAGAGAGAGATAGATATATACAGGGACAGTGGTGGGCTGCGCTCGAGCTTCGGCTGAGACGATGGCAGTGGCGGCGGCGTTGATAGTATCAACGCTGCTATTGACGCTTCTCATGGGTGCTTAATTTGAGTTATATATTCTGGATAATTTGTGATCCAACAAGCTCTTGCTTTTCGAGCGAATTTGTCTGCTTTTGTTTAAACTCCGGCGACCGTCTCTGTGTGTTCGGGCTATGTCACCGGAGAACGATGGATTTTCCGGCGAGATGCGAAGGACATGGCGGTATGAATGAATGAATGCAAAATGTGAACTTGTAAATATAGAAAGAAACACTAACATTCATTAACTCCTCCTCCTCCTAAATCATCTCTTTCTTTCTCTTTCTGCGGAGTTGGGGCCCACTCCCTTTTTTATTTTTTTTAAAATTTTCCTCCAATAAAATCCCATCTTCGCATTATTTCTTTTATTTTTTTTTATGAATATTTATTAACCAGCAAAAAAAGGGCACGTGGGCTTGCCACTTGATGCATTATTCTAAGGGATGTATTTTATGATGTATTTTCTTATTGAAATACATCACAAAACATGTATGCATAAGCATGCGATTAAACAAATACCAATCTGTATTGTTCTAGATCCAGCAAAAATCTATGCAATATTTGTGTGTTTTCTGAGGTACGCAAGATAACAAAGACTTATTTAAATGTACATAACAAAATTTATTTAAGAAGGAAAAAAATAATTTATGACGAACGCATAATATGCAACAGGCCTACTTTTCTCTATTATAATTGTTTTTAGGACTTTTTACAAATAGATCCATTCTAACATGACATTAATTGTATTCTATGTATTTTCCGTTTCCCATAAATAAATACGACTCAATTATTAATTGTATTGAAGTAGCTTAATGTGGCCATGGGTTTCGCAAAAAATGATTAAATTTGCGCAAGTTGAGGATAATTGTATAAGTGATTGGACAACAAAAAAATTGGCCAGCTGTCTTCTCTCTCTCTCTCTCTCTCTGTGATTCGGTAATTATTTAATAACTTTTTAAGTCAAACACCCAATTAGTTAGTTAGTTAATAATAATTAACAAAAATTTATCATTTCGTAATAAAAATGATTTATTATTTACAGGGGTCGTTGTAAACTTTTAAGATCCACAGGGGTCGTTCGTTGTAACTTTATAAAAGAGTAGCTAGAAAATATAAGATGACATAATTGTCCTTTGGTTCTGTTCTAATTTACCGCGTCGCACCAATGTTAATAATGACGTGGTGATTTTTAATGCCAAAAAGAAAAAAGCAAACTTACTGGCGGCGTTGTGTGACCGCGTGAGATACTCGTGATTTGTAATATTCTGATTTTTACGTTACGCGCGTCCCGCGCGCCTCTCGTGACCGCATTTGTGTTGCGGGTCCCACCTCCCAACGAAAACGTAAAGAAAGGCCAGACATGTAAATTAGAGAAACTTTGAGGGTAAAATAGCAAAATCCTTAATTTTAAATTCTATTATTATTATTATTATTTTGCAATTTCTTGTTACTTCAATTTTTATTTAAATACAAATGCTAATTTAAATTACAAAAAGCACCACACACTATTAAAGTATCACGGAGGGTCGGACTTAAAAACAAATTCATGCCCTTTTTTTGATTGAGCTAGATCCTATTGACTGTTACTTCAAATTTTATAACGTCGAGAAAAAACTTTTGTCGAAGATGTCCACGTGCGGCCCATCCACTTTTGGTTTTTTTTTTTTCTTTCCGTATTATGGGTTTTAGTGGGCACCCCTCGTGCGTAAGATAGTGACACTCACACACTAAATAAAACTTGCACGGGTGGTGCTCTTCATCTTTCTCTCTCTTTGGTGGTCGCTTGGTCTCAGCCATCATCATCTCTCCATCCAAATCCAATTCATCCTTTTGCTTTCTGAAAATGATATCTCAACCCAACAAAAACACCTTTTTTATCCTTTGCTGGTGGTGGTGGCCTCATCACTCTGCTCTGGATGTTAAAAATTTAGAGCCTACTTTTTAATTTTATTTTCTCACCTCTCTCAACTTATCCCAAACTTTTATGGTCAAAACTCAAAGTGTGTGTTTTTACTTTTTACTGTTGAATATTTTATATTAAATGCGATCATGTTACCTAGTCACCTACCATTTTTATATTCAGATTCTGTTCATGTCACAGTCAGACAAATTATTCTTGGCTTCTAAACCCTTTTTGTGGAAATGTGTGGGATTATAATTATACAGTTGAAAATAATTATGATGGTTTCACTTTCTATACACTTTCTCAGTTCACCTCTGGTACTGGTATTATTACAACAAGCAATGCAAAAAGTTAAAAAGTTTGCATACCAATTATATCCTAAAGCCTATTATATATCAACACTCACTCATATCCCATTTTCATCAAAACAGTGAGAGGTTCTAACTTCTGTGAATATGATAATTCAATTTTTTCCTAGATCCACCCATGTAACTAACCAATATTGAATGCAACTAGGGGTCCACTAGGAGGTGCAAATGCAATGCAACTACTGGATATTTCTCTCTCTCTCTCTCTCTCTCTCTCTCTCTCTCTCTCTCTCTCTCTCTCTCTCTCTCTCTCTCTCTCTCTCTCTCTCTCTCTCTCTCTCTCTCTCTCTCTCTCTCTCTCTCTCTCTCTCTCTCTCTCTCTCTCTCTCTCTCTCTCTCTCTCTCTCTCTCTCTCTCTCTCTCTCTCTCTCTCTCTCTCTCTCTCTCTCTCTCTCTCTCTCTCTCTCTCTCTCTCTCTCTCTCTCTCTCTCTCTCTCTCTCTCTCTCTCTCTCTCTCTCTCTCTCTCTCTCTCTCTCTCTCTCTCTCTCTCTCTCTCTCTCTCTCTCTCTCTCTCTCTCTCTCTCTCTCTCTCTCTCTCTCTCTCTCTCTCTCTCTCTCTCTCTCTCTCTCTCTCTCTCTCTCTCTCTCTCTCTCTCTCTCTCTCTCTCTCTCTCTCTCTCTCTCTCTCTCTCTCTCTCTCTCTCTCTCTCTCTCTCTCTCTCTCTCTCTCTCTCTCTCTCTCTCTCTCTCTCTCTCTCTCTCTCTCTCTCTCTCTCTCTCTCTCTCTCTCTCTCTCTCTCTCTCTCTCTCTCTCTCTCTCTCTCTCTCTCTCTCTCTCTCTCTCTCTCATGGGGTGGCTAGGTGTGGCTAATGGTCCTACAAGGCAAAAGCTAAACCAGCACACCACATGTTCAACTTATCAAGTAGGTGGGGGTTGATCTAGCAAATTTTAATATACAAACACATGCACATTTTATACACATATAGCAGATTTAATTCAAGATCCTCCTTTATATCCCTTTGGAATTCCCTTATCAGAATCATTGCCCAAGGGGGCAACAACAGTTGAATGAAAAGGCTTTTTCTTTTTCATCACAGCCACATCATGGTAGGTAGGTTGGTTATTATTATTATTATTATTATTATTATCAAGAATTCAAGATCATATATTGCTTTTTGGAGTTTGGATGAAGGGTTTGCATGATTTTTTTTGGGATTTTTAATACATCAATTATTTGACCCCAAAACAAGAACATACCAACAACATTTGGAGCCCAATTGTCACATCATTATTGGGCTGACTGGTTATTGAACTTTGTAGCAAAGACAAGTGTTAAAATTGACTAACAAAGATATATAAAGCCCCATCCTTTGAAATGATTTACTATATTTGATCCTTTTCAATTGGGCTACAAAGCCCAGGTTGAGGCTTACCCAGATATGCTCGAAATCTGAAAACACATCTAATGCTTCTGGTTGTTATAATTTTGGACTCTGACCAGAACTCATGAATCGGAAAATATCAAAATTCTTGAATTGATGGTCATGGCCTCGGCTATTGCTGCTGCTACATTTGTGTGTTCACCAGCATCAGCTCCCAGAGGCACAAAATCAGCCATATACAACCCGTCTTCTTCGCTGGTATCACGCCCCCAAAACCCAAAATTTCGACTTTGTTCTGTGTTTCCTCCACTGGGTCTCAGTCCTTTCTCACCATCGAGTGGCTTGAAGCATCTGGGTATCTCATTCACGCCGAAATCTTTAAAATTAGGTACATTTTATCATTCGCGTTGCTCGTGTTTTCTTTATTTGTTTGCTGTCTTTAGTCATTTCAGCTCATTCGTGATTTGTTGGTGCAGAGAGGAAGGGAAGGCATAAGGGTATGGTGGTTTATGCATCTCTGTTTGGGGTTGGAGCTCCTGAGGCTCTGGTTATTGGGGTAGTGGCTTTGTTGGTTTTTGGTCCCAAAGGTCTTGCTGAGGTGAGTGGCATGTTATGTATAGCTGGACGTTTTGATCTCAAGTTCAAGTTCTTGTGTGAGAGTGCTTGCTTGTCTTTTGTTAACATCATCAGGATAGCTGGACTTAATTTCTCATATGGATGCCTGTGTTCTCTCAGTTTGAACTTTTAAGTAGTAAGGTTAAATTCTACGAACTAAGTAAATTTGGTTGGTATATGAACCCCTCACAGAATTGTTGTTGGCTAAAACTCAATGATAGAAGTAATGATGGCCTTGGGAGCTTAGGATTTTAAGCTTTAGAAAGAAAATAATAATCTTTGTTGCTTAACTGATCTTTTGGCATCCCAGAGTAACAATTTATCTACATGCAGGTTGCTCGGAATTTAGGAAAGACTTTGCGTGCTTTTCAACCCACCATTAGAGAACTTCAGGTGAGTAATATTAACTTTCTTTCACATGTATATTTATGGTCTTGTGAGAAGGCTATCAATGTTGCATGTACATCTGCGTGTAGGACGTTTCTAGGGAATTCAAGAGCACCCTTGAAAAGGAGATTGGTCTTGATGACATTTCACCTTCAGCAATAGACACATACAATGCCAACAAAATGGCCACTACTTCAACCCCTTCATCAGCTGCCACGGCTGCAACCCCTTCATCAGCTGCCACAACTTCAACTCCTTCATCAACTGCCACGGCTGCAACCCCTTCATCAGATGCAACTACTTCAACCCCTGCATCAGATGCCACTACTTCAACCCCTACATCAACTGCCACGACTGGAGATGCAGAAACCACGGCCGAACCCAGTAAGTGATTAAATGTAGAAACCACGACTGGAGATGCCAGTAACCGTTACATTTATCTTTGACTTCCTTTTTTATTTATTGAAAGAAGCTCTTGTATATGTGATTACTGGTTAATCATTCTGACACATTATGGAAGTTTTTAGAATATGAATGAATACTAGAAAAGAACACAAATAGGAGTAACCAGGCGTTGGGAAATTTTGA